ATATTGTGGATATATGTAATCTGTTACGTTGAGCACATTTTATTAATGAAATAATATACATTACAATGAAGAAATTTAACCTTTATTACGTGTAAATATTCCAATTGAAAATTTGCTTTTTTGGACTATTTGCTAAATGTTTCCATTAATACCATACCGAACCTTTCGAAGATTTTGTGATTTAGAGATTTTGATATCAAGTACAAGTCTACTTAATAAAGTAAAAACGGTTTTATTTAAGAAAACGTTACGTTTTTTAGTAAGGACTCTTTTCATTTGTAGGTGGTCGGATATTTATGGTAGGGTAGTATACCACTTACCTCGGTTATGCATATCATATTAATAGCATCTTTTGTTGTTTCAGTTGAAGGCATATCAAAAATGTCATTCCTTAAAGATATTATTTTTTTAAATAGGAATCTTGGTCCTTATTAGAGTACCTAAATTATTGCAAAGATAAAGGATCATTCAAGAGAAAGATCAAAAACATTTATTTTACTTGAAATGTCTGGAACACTTGATTTTATATGCAAAGCATGTAGAAACAAGAAAATTTGCATTAGGTTGTTACACTTCCTTTAAGGCGAGTAACTTTCTAGTTGATATTTAATACATCAGGAAATTTTCCTCGCTGTAATATTATGTCCATAAATTTTAATATGTAAAATTGTAATATTTGCATAAAAAATTATGTAATATTTACACTCAATGTAATAATTGCATAATTTTTGTATGCCTATTTGCATAATATTACAGGGCCCACTGTAAACTTATGTAAATAGTGTGTTAATTACATAAATCCACACCAGAAAAAATTTCCTGATGTAACTGGTTTGATTAGTTAGGGAACATAATGGTTTAATTGTGAGACATAGTTGTTATCAGTAGTGCTGTGCCAGTCAGTATTGATGGTGCTGTTTTGATTACTTGCATAGTTGATCTAGGAGGAAGCATTATAATACTGTACCACCTAGGTTCAATAGTGCTGTATTGATAAACCTGCATAGTTGATTTAGTAGGAAACATAGTTGATATCAACATGCTGTACTAAGGTTTCTGGTCCAAACTGTTTTCTCAGCCCAAACTAGTTTGGAAAATTTGGGCTTCTCAACATTTTTTATAAGCATGAACATTAAAAAACTATATGAATCAACTTGTTTTAACTTAAACAA